AAAGTAAGGCCCGAAAGTGACTCGTACCGGCCCGACTCGATAAAAACAGGCCCGAAAAAAATTGTCTCGGAAAAAGTCGGCCCGACTCGAACGAGACTCGATAATATTTTTACCAGATTTGTGGACAAAAATGGATGAAATCTGGCTCCTTGGCCTTCCAAAATTCGAAAAATTTTCGCCTGCGGCGCTGAAAAAGGAAGAAGTTTAGTCCTTAGCCTTCCGAATATCTCAAAATTTTTGCCTGCGGCGCTGAAATGAAGGATTTTTAGCTCCATACTTTGCTTCACATCTCGAACTTACTGGCTTTAATTGATAAGCTGGATTACTGGGAGTTATGGTATATATTCCGCGGGATCCCGTCATAATTTGAAAATGTGACGGGATCCCGCTTTCTTCTACTAATTTTCTACTAATTTTTCCCCCTTTCCCCTATTTCGAGGGGGGGGCTCTAGTAGCCCCACTGGACACGCCCTTGGATTAAGTGTACGAGGAATTTATTACGTGTACGAGGATCAAGAATACGAGGAATTTTAGCGTAAAGCGGGATTTTATTAAGGGATTTGATGATTAACGCACGATATCCCCGATATCCCTTCAAATCTCCTCATTCCTTCTAAATCCCATTACAATATATCACCTTAATCATCTGATATACGATCCTGAACCCCTTAATCATCTGATCTCCTTTAATAAAACCAAATCTAGCAATATCTCACCCCAATCCTCCGATAATTTAAATCACCTTAATCCCTCAAATCCACTGATATCCATTTCAATTCTCTTCAGCCCTTCCTTTACCCTCCTGATCCATCGATATACCTTTTAATTCACAGATATCCCTCCAAATCCACTAATTATTTTTAAATAAATCTTTAAAAAAAAGACTCGAAAATGTCTCGATGCCCGACTCGATAAAGTCAGGCCCGAAAGTGACTCGTACCGGCCCGACTCGATAAATTTAGGCCCGAAAAAGACTCGTATCGGCCCGACTCGATAAAGTAAGGCCCGAAAAAGACTCGTATCGGCCCGACTCGATAAAGTTAGGCCCGAAAAAGACTCGTACCGGCCCGACTCGATAAAAACAAGCCCGAAAAAAAATGCCTCGACCGTCGGCCCGACTCGAAAACGGCAACCCTATTCTTAATATTCAGTTCTTTAAGGAAATAAAAAATATTTAAAATAAAAACAAAATTAAAAAAATTTTTTTCCCTAATTTTAATCTCTAAAAACAAACAAAAATACTCATCTTCCATCCTCTTTTTACCTTGCAATTCCCTAACATTATCTTCATTTAGCCCATTCATTCCAAAGCTTAATCTGTGTTGAGATAACCTTCTTTTTTGTTTAATAGGATGTCTCTTATTTAACAATAAAGTATTAACAGAAGAAACGCCGGCAATTGAAGGGGATGATTTTACGCCTTCATTGTTTCCCCCTCCTCCTCTCCATTTACTTTTTTGTTGTTTTTTCCCTTTTAAATAAGCAATTGCATTTTTGCTTCCACCCCCAACCATCGATGTTGTTGTTGTTGATGTTAGAGTGCCACCATTACTTAATGCTGAAGAGATAAGAATTGCTGTGCCACCTGGCAAATTTTAATAAAATTAAATTTAGGAAAAAACAAAATTTAATATTTTTTTATTTTTAGAATTTATTTTGGGTTTTTTCGGAAGTTTAATTTAAATAAAAAATAAGTTAAATGAAAAATAAAATTATTAATTTATAAAAAAATCCTTATCAAAGTTGATATTAGATGGATATTATATAGATATTAGGTGGATATTAGGTGAATATCTTAGGTTGATAGGTGGATCTTTAGGTGGATATTTTTGAATTTGCAGATGCAAGGAAAAGATTATTAAACCGCTTGGTTCTATGAATAATTTATGTTAAAGAAAGACCGTTGATGGAACAAATCCGGGTTAGAAATAAATTGAGTTAAATTTGTTTTAGCTAGCTGATAGTAAGTATTAAGGATGTCGGTTTGGAATGGAAATGAATTAGAGCGAAGAATTTAGGATTTCTCAGTTTGTTTCCTTAGTTGGGTTCTGGATATCCAAAGATTTCCAAGAACTGATAACTTGTGAAAATAAAAAAATAAAAAGCACAAAATTTTTTACTGTTTGCTTCTACATTTGAAGCATGTTTAGAAAAAAACTTTGAGAGAACCAAAGCAATTTATAGAATAAAATGCAAATTTAAATTTCCGACAAAAATAAAAATATTTTCTAGAAATATATTTTTGGCTCTTATTTATTTGATTTGTAAAAATAAATATTTAGTTTTTAAACCAAAAAAATTTTTTTAACAAAATTAATTATACAGTCAAAGCTTGAATTTAGATATTACGAAAATTAGATACGCCTCGAGTTAACGGACTGTCCGACAGATGACGGATTGTCCGGTAACGAGTGAGGGGGAAAGGCTAAGAATAACTCCATGAGACTTTACATTACCAGTTAAAAGATGTTTATTTTATGGTGATGTTTGATAGGAAAACAATTTAATTTTTAAAAAATATACGTTTAGGTTTTGAAGAATTAGGACCGCAATTATTAGAAGAACGGCGCCTTTTGGCATTAAAAAATGCAGCTGAACGGCTGGCTGCTGGCACAAACATTATTTAATAAATAAATCTAAATTAACAAAATAAATAATATATTTTAAGTGTGCTAAATATTTACAAAATTATTTTTTTGGGAAGAATCAAATAATAAAAGAATGGATGGAATTAAATGAATGAAATAAAATTAATTAATTAAAATTAATTAATTAATGAATTAAATAAAAAAAAACAGGGGCACTTAAGAGGAATTGCAGCTGGTTAGGGACTCAATTACTATGGAAGAGTGCGCGACCATAGTAGGCATTTAATATTTAGACATTTAATATAATTATTCCTTTCTTTACATCATTTTTTCATGGATTTTGTAAAATTTAAAAAGATATTTGAAATAAATTTTATGCTTAATAAAAGTACATATGTAGAGAGAATAACAAAAAGCCTAACAATTCCTTTTAACATCCTAAAGATAAGTTCAAAATAGAAACTATTGATTTAAATTCGAGATGGATATCACGAAAAATTTCGATCTCAGTTTCGTTAACCTAATTTTTTAGAATAAATCTCATCTCGATCATCCCAAATAAACTTTAAATAATTAAAATATAATAATAAAAATTATTATAATTTAAATAGATATCCATTTCCTTTATAAAAAAAAGTGTAAAAGGAACATAAAAAATTGGCAATTTTGGCATTTTTCTAAAAAAGAAACAAAACTTGTTAGAGTACTATATTTTCTTTCAAAATAAATAAATCTTCTTCTTTCCTTCATATTCCTTCCAAAAACATTTTTTTGAATCAATTCCTCCTCTATATATCCTTTTTTCCACTATTTATAAAAAAAGATATATACACACAAAATGTTTGTCACTAACTTACACCAACAAAAACTAAAAAAAATAATGTTGGAGGAAGCGCATCATCATTAGTTTCGCGTGCCGCATTTTTGGCCTTTTACTCAATCTGGCGTGTAAAAAGAAAGGAGTAAAATAACACTATTAGCATATGCTGTTTATGTTACTTTTCATCACTTTTAATAAAATTTTTGAGTAAAATATAATTATAATTATGAAAAAAAAAATCTAAAAGAAAATTTTATTTAGGGGACTAATTTGTATATGTGACCCTTTATTATCGAGGAAAAATAATAAAATTTTAGAGTTTTCTCTTCACATAAAAGCCAGTTTTCATACGTTTCAAGAAGAAGACTCCCTCTAAGCCAGGATGAATTTTTGCAAAACAATAAAAAAATATGCAAAAACCAGATCGATTATGATTGTCTCGTTCTAGTGCCGCTGGCGAAAATTTTGAGAATTCTTGAAGACTAAGAAGCCAGATTTCTTCCTTTTTTTAAAGAATTTTTTGTTTCAAAAGTATACATATAGTAAATCTCTATTTGAAGCACACATATTTCTATTTTTCGATTATTATCAGCCCCATTTCTTTCTGATCATCCTGTATATTGTCGATTGAAATCCCTGCTCCTTGCAATACTTCCCCCTCTTCAGATACTTTGCCGAAGATCTTCTCTATTTTTAATAAATTTTTCAAAAACTTTTTTTATTGAGACTTGAACCTCGCCGTTAAACAAAAACTGTGTGTATACCGGGGATCCTGCCGACCCTATTCCCGATTTCGGGAAATTTATTTTGTCGGAAATCCCAATTTCCCGAAATCGGGAATTTTGTTTTTTTTTGCCGGCAGGATCCCTGGTGTATACAACCTTCGGAACTATCATAAAGTCTGACTTTCGGACCCAGAATTTCCAGCAATTATTTTAGATGGTTTATTATTTATTAAGAAATGTTAACTTTAAAACCATCAATTTTTATTTTTAAATTCCAATTAAAATTTAAAAATAAAATGCCATTTTATTAAAAAGAGATGTTTCTCGATTTTTTAAATTTATTTTATATCAAAATGTTTAAAAATAAATTCGAGGACTTTTAATAAATAAATACCACCTGTTTTGTTTTAAACCAAAAATCAAAACAACAGATTTTTAAAAATAAAATATGTTTTACGCCCACAAAAGTTTAAAGTAATAAAATAGAATAAATAAAAACTAGCAACAAAACCTAAGAAATGATAAATCTTTTTTAAATTAAATATTTTTATTTCTAAGATGATTCAATTTAAATTTTAATTTCTTAAATTATTTTAACTAATAAACTTTCCAATCGAATGGGGAATTAAAGTTTTTGTATTAAGATTATTTCTTGATTAATCCTGACAAAAGAAGAGATGCAAATCCCAATCTCATAAATATGTAAAAATATTAGTGAAACAAAATATTGAACGTAAGACTGGTGTGAGAGGAAAAGAAAGTTCTTCCTTTTTCAGTCCGCAAAAAAAAGAGGGGGCTAATTAAACCTATTTTGAATGTTTATTGCCACTTATTTGAGAGAGTTCAATTAAATCAAATTTTAAAAAATCCCTTTGAAAAAATCCATTTTTTCAATTCTTGTGTGTAGTTTAGTGTAGTTTTGGTTCCTTCTCTATATCTGAAGTCAAACTTTAATTTTATACATAATTGTCCGAACTTTCAAATCCCAAACAAATCTTTAACCCTCGATACATGGCAGATATTATAATTTGGATCAAACTACTACCCATTTCAGATTTTTAATCTTAATTAAAAAATAAATATATTATCATGGTTGCAGTTGACCCAAAATTGAAAGGGATTGGACAACAACGAGGATTACAAATTTGGAGAATTAATGTTAGATTTCTATAATTTTAAATAATAAAAAATACTTTTATTAACAGAAATTTGCTTTAGAAGACATGCCAAAAGAGCAATATGGCAATTTTTATAGTGGAGATTCTTATATTATTTTAAATGTTTTTTTGTTTAATTTTTTAATAAAATAATTTTTTTAAAATAAAGACTAAAAATGTTGGAGAATGGGACGTTCATTTCTGGTTAGGAAGAAATACTTCCCAAGATGAAATGGGCACTGCAGCAATTAAAACTGTTGAATTGGACGATTCTTTAAATGGATTGCCTGTTCAATATAGGGAGGTAACAAAATAAAAATATCCTCCTCCAATTAATAATTCTAATCTACTGAGAGTTAAAATTTTCTAATACAGTTGCAAGATCATGAAAGTGCTTTGTTTCTGAGTTACTTCAAAGATGGAATTAAGTAAAATATTTTTTGAATTATTCAAATTATTTATTTCCGAGATTGGCTATTCCCCCTACCACCTTAAATGATGTTTGAAAGGTTTCCTGCATAAAACATTTTCCTACACGAATATTAGGGACTAGACGAGCTATGTGATTCTGTCTTGGCACCATTTGAGTTAACCATTAAATTAAAAAACATTTTTTTCAAAATTTCATTTGAAGTAATATTCTATGTGAAGAGAAAGAAGATTAAAATGCTAAATTATTACTCACAATAATTTAAGGAATTTTTTTATAATTCAAAAAAATATTATTAATTACTTTAATTAATTAGATATTTGGAAGGAGGTGTTTCTACAGGATTTAAACATGTTGTAGATGCTTATGATAAGTGGACACCAAAATTATTTCAATGTAAAGGAAAGAGAAATGTTAGATGTACTCAAGTAAAATGTGTTAAGGAATCACTTAATCGTGGTGATGTATTTATTCTTGATTTGGGGCTAGATATTTATGTTTGGATGCCTCCACAGAGTGGACGATTGGAGCGTTTAAAAGGAATGCATGTAAATAAACTAAATTTATTTAATGAAAAAATAGTTTCTCTAATTGGCCCCTCTAATAAGATGCTCAGGGCTTCAATTAGAGGAAATACAGTAATCATTTAATATTATATTATTATTCGAAAAAATTACTGAAAATATTCTTAAACTTTTTCAGCAAGCAAAAAGCATAAAAGATAAAGAACGTGCTGGTCGACCTAAAATTCATATATTGGGTAAATAATTAAAATTATGTCTGCCAAATTATGCACAAACAATTATAAAAATTTTGACATGAGACCTAAAAGGATTCTAACTTTTTTAGTCTCCCATTTTATGAAATATTTCTAATTAGTTTGCATCTTTTTTGAATATACTATTAATTTTAATTATAATTCTATGTATAATTAAAAATTTTAACAAAAAAATTAATTAATAATTAGATCAAGATTGGAATATAAACGACAGATTTTGGAGTCATTTTGGAGGTGTTAAAAATATAGAATGGATAAAAGCACCAAAAGCTGGAGGGGATGATGATGATTATTGGCGTGAAAATAGGCAGAATATTAGTTTGTGGAAGTTTGTAAAGAGAGAGAAAGGAAATTTAAAGTAAAATAATTTTTATAGAGTATCCGATTCTTCTGGAAAATTGGAAATAACTCAGAAAAAACAGAGAGGGTTTTGTTTTACAGATTTGGAATCTAAAGTAATTAATTAATATGATTAAATAAATTATTAATATCTAATAAAAGGATGCTTTTATTGTTGATGCTGTTGGTGGGGGACTTTTTGTTTGGATAGGAAAGGAATGTACAATGAATGAACGTAAAAAAGCTATGGAATGGGGACAAGAATATTTACGAAAACAGGTAAAATTAAATTTAAACGACTAATACAAGAAGCTTTGGAAGCGTAGATGATACTTAAGTTACTCAGAAAATACTGGCCTCAAAGATTCGGCCCTAAAATATATTAAAAAACCCCACCATTATATATTTTCTCGAATAAATTTATTTAAATAGACCAGGATTAGGATATCTAATTTTCCATTTGATAGAAAGTTATCTCCTTGAATCAGTTTGTATGGTAAAACTGAAACAAGTTAAACATAACATATGTATTAATATTAAGCTTTTAAATTTTATACAAGAAAATCAAGAATTATATATTTCGATTTTAATGATTTTTAGAAAGGCCGTTCACAAAATGCTCAAATTATCCGTGTATTAGAAGGCGCAGAGCCAGAATTTTTCATTCAATGGTTCACTAATTGGAATACAAAAAAGCAAACTGTAGCCTTTAAACCAAAACTATACCAATGCTCAAATGAATCGGGGAAACTAAAAATTGAAGAAATTGCTAATTTTTATCAAGAGGTGGGGAATAAATATTAAAAAAAAATTTTTTGCAATGAAAGGGAATCCGGTGAACTTAGCTTTTTTTTTGAAAATAGTAAATTTTTTCATTAGATTTTATTAAACAAGTTTTCCATAATTATATTCAATTGTTGATCATTTCAAAAAAAATATTTTCTAAAAAATTTAAAGGATTTGGATGGAGACGATGTTATGATTTTAGATGCATTAAACACTATTTATGTTTGGATTGGTAATGGAGCTAATACACAAGAGAGAGATGCTGCCAAAAGCACAGCACAAGTATATTAGATATTTATCAATGGATAAGATTTTAAATTATAAAAATCCTCTTAAATATATTCCATAATGATCAAAAATTTTGGAAAGGAATTGAAATGATAAGATCAGATAACCAGTTCGTTCTTTTGAAACCTAATCCTGTTATGGAATCTCGGGGTTTTAGACGAAGTTATGACCATATACACGCTAGGTTAGACTTCCGAATGCAAATCAGTCACCATATCTTCGTCTAAAATTGTCGAAACATAAAAAATTTGTTGTCTCTCAATCCAGCTCGAGGATACTGTTGAACCTCGTAATATCAAAGAGCACTTCATAATTTTTTCTCGGGAACAGTAAACTAGAGTATTACGCATACATATTTCTAGTTAATACATACACTCTGTAACAAAATGATAGGACCCCCTAGTTTTTTATCGATATCCCACCAAATATTAAATGGATTTGTTTCAAATTTTGGTAGAATACAGGTAAGGATATTATGTATCAATATTGAAAAGAAAAAGTTAAAAGCAATTTTTAAAAAAATTTTATGATAATAAATTTGATTTTGGAGTGTAACAAAATGATAGGACCCCTTGTATTTTCGACCTTAGGGATGGTCCGAAAAATCTACAAAAATCCCTGTAAACATATCTATTGATATCTATAGTAAATACAAAAGAAACAAAGTTCCAATATAATTCCTTCATTGAGATCTGAAACCCCGAAAATCAACGGAAAACCGAGGGTAAACGTCTTTAAAAAATATTTTCGACCCTTTAGAGACAAAATAAAAATTTCATTTTAGGCTTATTTGAAAGCCCTTGAAATTTCCTACAAGATAGTTTTTATCTCATAACCCAGAAAAAATTCTTTTTCGAAAAATAATAAGATTAGTTTATAAGTCACATTTTCATTACTTTTTGGAGGGCTTTTGTGTGATTTTTATGACCTGAAAGTTTATCGCATTGTGTCTTAAAGGTGAATTTTTTTCAAAAAATAAAATTGATGCTATCTTGTAGCAAATTTCAAGGGCTTTCAAATAAGTCTAAAATGAAATTTTTATTTTATCTGTAAGGGGTCGAAAATATTTTTTAATTACGTCTACCCCCAGTTTTCTGCTGATTTTCGGGTTACGACATCTCGATGATGGGAGTACATCAGAACTTTGTTTCTTTTGTATTTACTATAGATATCAATAGATATGTTTACAGGGATTTTTGTAGATTTTTCGGACCATCCCTAAGGTCGAAAATACAAGGGGTCCTATCATTTTGTTACACTCCAAAATCAAATTTATTATCATAAAATTTTTTTTAAAAATTGCTTTTAACTTTTTCTTTTCAATATTGATACATAATATCCTTACCTGTATTCTACCAAAATTTGAAACAAATCCATTTAATATTTGGTGGGATATCGATAAAAAACTAGGGGGTCCTATCATTTTGTTACAGAGTGTAGTAGGTACATTTTTGCAACTAAAAGTTTAATCTCGTTTAATTATATTTAAATTAGTAAATTTCGACGAAATATTCAGAAATATTTCTATAATTTTTAGAAATATTTGGAAACTGATAGCATGCCTCGACACAAAAAAGCAGCAATTGAAGTAATTTATCAAGGAGAAGAACCTCCACCATTCAAAAAATTGTTTCCAGAATGGGATGAAAAATTATTTAAAACGGTAAAGATTTTTTTGAAAAAAAGTTTAAAATAAAATTTACAGCCAAGAACTGTTGAGAATATGAGAAAATTGCTTTTCAAATAAAAAGGAAGAAGGAAATTAATTGTCAAAAATTATTTAAAAAAGAATTATTTAAACAACACATACATACATACATACTAGCTTATTTAAATGTTAACTTTAAATCCGATAAATTAAATTGCTAATTTTATTAATGTAAATTCTGCATTTCTAACTTTAATAAAGAATTTTTAAATTTTTTATAAGAATTTTCAGATCAGTTAGGAAAATATGCATAAAAATATTTATTCTATATAAATAGTAACCCCCAATAAAATTTTCAAAATAAGGTTGGGGAACAGGATATCCGTATCCGAAAAGGCAGGATATCCGCAAAATTCAGGTCGGAAATTCGACCAGAACGAATAATTTGTTATCCTAATTACGAAATCCAACAAGACTTATTTTGCTAATATCAAATTAAATAGGAAAAAATATTTAAACAATAGTTTTTAAAAATAATTTTTTAATTTTATTTTTGATTGCAAGTTTAATCTGCAAGTTATAATATTTTTTATTATGAAATATTATTTAAAGAATAGTCTAACATACTATACTTCTTTGCTATAAAAAATACATACAATCACATGTAAAATTTTTTATGGCTCAAAGTTTAAGCCAAAAAGTGGCTAGTGAGCCAAAATTTGGCTCGCGAGGCTTTTATTGCTTAATTTCGCTTTTGTTAAAAAAATTTTTGTAAGGAACAAGGATTAACTAGAATTTTTCAAGGAAGGAATTTTTATTTGTGCAGAAGTGAAAGTTTTGTGAAAAGGGAAAGTTTTATATAATATTCCTATATATGGTTGTTGGAATTTTTGTGAATTTTTTCTAATGTTGGAAATATTAAAAATAAAAGTAGGTTATATTTTGAAACACATTTTTTAGCAAAAATTTCGAAAAAAAATTAATTTATATTTTTGGATCAAACAAAATTTATTAAACATTGGGAATGTTCGTAGATCAGTTAAATGTATCTAAATACAAAATTTCAAAAAGATAACTTGAGCAACAAAAATTGTAAAAAATTCAAGGCGGTTATACTTTTGAAACAGAATGTATTCTTTGGTTTGCAGCTAGCTGATTTTTAAACTTTTATTCATAAACCGAAGATTTAATTATTGTAATTTGTTCTGTTATTTGAATAACAATTCTTTTAAATCTACTTAATTCTTGTTTCTTTACAAAAAATTTCGTTTTAACAAAAACGAAATTAAGCAATAAAAGCCTCGCACTTGTTCCCCTTTCGAGCCAATTCTTGGCTTAAACTTCAGAGCCAAAAATTTTTAATTGACAAATTTTGCATGTGATTATACTTCTTATAGCAAGGACTTGTAGTATGTTAAGGGTGGCGTGTTTAGTATAAAATGTGTAGCTTTTTAGTTGTAATGGGAGTTAGTCAAGTTGCCAGTTAGTCAGTCTTATCCCTTAGCCAAACTATATTCTACTCTAGCGCATAGTTTCTATTGTATTGTTACCTTCGTGATAAACCTTGTTAGTTAGTCTAGCCTTTTAGTTAGTACCGGACATACCGCAAGTCGATACACAACGGTGGCGGTTATCACAGTTAAACTCCTAATCGAGTAGTCGAAACCTACGTATAGTAGGCTTTTAAATAATATAACTTGTTAATTAAGGTTAACTTGTTAATTACATAATTTTTTCTGTCAGGCAGCTGTTTTATATATTCCAATAAATCCATTTTACCAAAAGATTTATTAGTATTGCTTAAGGAAACTTGCCCGGAGACTTTCCTGTTTTTATATTCAGACAAAATTAGTTTTTACAAAAATTAATTTTTTATTATAAAAATTAATTTCAGAAGAATATGAAAATTTTAACTTTTATTTTCCTTTTCTCCTTTGTGACGCCTATAATTGGATCAGGAGGGGGAAGTTCTTCAAAAAGGGGACGATTTAATCCATATCAATCAAGTGGAACCGAGCCAGAACCAAGCAACATCGTCGGGTCTAGTTCTAGTGACCCTGTTACCCATGCAGGAGGCACGACGTCTTCTTCAGTTCACGCTCCTGTAGAACTTCATCATATGGGAAATTTGTTCTCCAATATTCCATTTACTGGCTATCATCAATTTGACCAGAGTTTTCCACACATTTTGAATCCTTCAACTGATCAATTTGCTACTACTACATCACCTGTTCCGCATCAAATGCAATCACTTGAACGACAAAATATGCCCGTGCATCATATGAAAAAAATTGAGAATGAAGTTTCAAAGCCAATGCATTCGAAAGCCTTTAAGTTTTCTAAAAAAATATTTCTAATTATTAATTTTCTATATCCGGCATTTCAATTAACCCTATTAAATTAATATACAAAAATTTTTAGATCGCTATAATTGGATTGAAAAAGCTGAAGAGATTGATAATTATCACTTGGCTGAAGAAGTGATAAATGATCAGTCTTACATTTATGTTGGTTGTGATCGTTGTAGGAGATATGTAATTTTAATTAAAATATTAATTTTAATTTATACTAATTAAGTTTATGTTTAAACAAATAAAACATTTTATTTCCCATAACAAATATCATTTGAAAATAGAGAAAAGAATAAGTGATATAGCTAAAAATAAAAAAGGTAAAATATTATTTAAGGATGCTTCACCCAGCAGCATTTAAAACAATTAGGAGGGGATTAAACGATCCAAAAAGGAAAAAGAGAAAGCATAGTCGATGCACCGGTAGCTCAGAGGTAGAGCTCCTGCATATAGTGAGCGAAAGCGCCTAGCAACAACTAGCAGGTTGTCACAGGTTCGAATCCTGCCTGGCTGCCAAACTTTTGCAAACTCTTTCTAAAATAAACACAAACATTACACTTTATCACTAACATCTAACTTCTAAATAATTCTGTTTATTATTATTTTTTATTCAATGTAATTAAAGATCGAGGCTTTAATTTAGTCAGTGTCCCTTCGAAAGCATCACTCGCCGAGTTGATACATCACTCGCCGAGTTGAGTTGAATAATGCCAAAATCAGCTTGATCCGATTACTTTTCACTTGATATATTAAAGAAATATGTAGTAATTTATTTTATGCAAAAACATTTTTCTCGAGATATAACGCTTTAAAAAATTTTTGGTCGTTGTAGACAAAATTTTGCACCCCTGTGTATTCTTTATTAAAATACATATTGTTAAAATAAATTTACAGAAAAGAAAAGGTTACTTAACCAATATAATAATTTGAAAAATAAAATTCTTGCAAAAGAAATAAAAGATTTGGATGGAGAAATAATTACATTCAATGATGAAGCTTTATTAGTTGAATGTGAAGTATGTAGGGCAGCTGAACTTTCATTTATGGTTTTTTAACATATTTTATTTTAATAAATTTCAAAATATTTACAGTTTTTTGAACTTGATGCTTATCCACTTAAATCACATTTTTTAACTGAAAAGCATAAAGATGCTGCTAAACGTAAATATTTTTAACCATTAATTTATTTTAAATTTATTTATTATTTTATTTTTAAATCGGACTCGATTCAATCCTCCATTCTTAGGAATTTTATTAAGAATCATAACTTGTGTTAAACATTAACGCAGTGTCATTCAACGATATATATTTAAAAAATATTTAATTATTTTCAAATTTAAGTTTGTAGGGTCATTTTAGTCACGACTAAAAATACTCACCAAACATTTTTAGAGGTCCTGACACTAAACCTTGCCCTTTGAAATATAACTAAAATTTTACAAACCTCAAGACAAATTTTATTTTTAAAATTTTCTAAAATGAAATCCTTTATTTGGCAACAAATTTCGGGTCATATGTGTCGACCGAAAAATGTGCATTCGAGAGGCACATGTCCGCAAAAGGCTCTGGCAAAAATACATTTTTTCTGGAGTCAACTTCTTTCCCTCATTCTTAATTTTCCTCGTGTAATCAAATGATAGTTATTAAATTATTAAATTTTAGTTCACATAATTGTAAATATATTCGAGAAAACATTTAAGGTTTTTTTACCCTGTATTAATATTAAATTTAATAATCCTTAAAAAAAGTTCTTGATTTTGAAAGGTGGACCCCCCCCCCCCCAATTTTTTTATATATTATGTAATGAAACAGATTTATAGTCTAGATTAGTGTTATTCAAACGCGTTTTTTCGGTATCGGTATTTCGGTAAAAATACCGCGGTATTACCGAAAAATACCGCGGTAATACGGTACCGTGAATCACACTAGTCTAGATAATTTTCCAATTATTTGAAGCAGTAATAATAGCTTATAACCTGTTACTCTCCGTTTATAAAGTTATAATCCTTCGATATTGGGGATTTATTTATTTAATAATTTAATAAATTCGAATTTAAATTTTGATAACTGTAGTAAAGCTTGTCTATTAATAAGCATTTACTTCATTAATTTCTTTTACTCTTTATTATTCCCCCCAAACTGCCAACCTATCATCTGATTACCTGAGGAAAATTAAGATAGAGAGGAAAGGAGTTGACTGCAGAAAAAAACATTTTTGTAAAATGCCTTTTGCAAATATGTGTCCCTAAGGCTGGGCCTCTCGCACCTTGGTTCTGAAAGTTAATATATTTATCCAGAGTATGGCACTGCTAGTGAGCGTTCTATCCGTTATGAAAATGTGCAATTTATAGGTAAATAATTTAATTTTCTTATCTATTATTAAATTAACTGGCTAAATGTCCTTTTCTGTTATAATATTGTTTGCCAAATGATCAAATACTTTCAAAGTATTTGATCAAAGAGGTCCAAATTAGGTCATGGTCAGTCATTTGTTCCTTGCTTAATTTAAAAAGTGCAGAAAAAAAAACTGACCATTTCGTACATCAGCTTAAACGCGGACGGGGAGGGGAGGTCATAAGTACCTACGCTTACAAATTAGTACTATTTATTACCTTTTATTTTCACATATAGTCACCATCAAACAGATACTCAGGGTCAAGGTTAGGATATCGAGGTTGTGATCATCAAAACATTTAATGTTGGATTTTAAATTTAAGTTATATGTATGAATAAATTTAAATAAATAAT